AAAATACCCTGCAGTTTTGTCATAAGGATAGGCACTGGCCTTCTTTTACTTCATTGGTGGGGCAGCTGCTCCTCCCCACATTGCATGGATTTAAGTCAATAAATGCATGCACATAATTTATGTCTACGTACTTTTAAGTGTTTTAGGAGGAAGGCTACACTGCAAGGGTTCCACTGCAAGGATTCCAGAGAGCTTTTACATCTACTAAATATTATTCTTAGGTGTGAAGGAAGGACTCTACATTGGAAAGTTGGATACACTGCTCACTGTGGCTGCAGAAACAAATTGGAATGCAAAATAGTCACTAAACCTTGAAATGCTAAAGACCTGTGCACATGTATGTTGGTATATGGATAAGTCATAACTCCAATTTATTACTGCTAGATTAACAGTGACAGGCTTTGGAGGTCAAATGTATCTGGATGAAGATGGAATGAATGACTGTTTGGTGCTAATCCAAGACACATTTAAGTCTAGAGAAGTCTTTTTACTAATTCCACTTTCAATTTCAGATGAGGTTAAAAGAAAGGGAGGGGATTCAGATCTGTAGGAGGAAGCAAAGTATTAGGATAACTTAACAAAGCTGTATACTATGGGAGTCAGAGTCCAGAGATGTGAATCCTAGATACTCATTAATTCTACAGGGTTTATTTCCCGACCTGTCCCAACTCCCACCGTCTCTAAAATCCAAAGTGACAGCTGACGTCCAGCAGAACACTTGCATATTACCATTCTCTCTCTATTTTTGATAAAGTGAAGATAAGAACTTGTTTAAATTGTGCCATGTTGTTAACCTTAAATTGATTCTGACAGGGTTAAAGATAATGGCTTAAGAACGTCTAATCTTTTTAATAGATGCAGACCAAAGCCCATGAAACCATCATCTTAAATCAAGGCTTTGTCTCTGCATCTCCTTATACATTGGATGGTGACATAATACCATATTACAAAATAGTAAATCTGGTAATAGGCAAGTAGGGAAGCATTTCCTTACTTTGCTGGAGCTCTTGAAATACTGAATTTAAGCTGTCAGACTTTCAGCTCTGGAGAACAAAAGAACAGCTGCTCCATACCCATTTAGATTGTGCCTTAAATGACAGTCCCACACAATAATGAAAGGAAACTGTCTGTTTTGCATTGTTCAGCCCACACAGAGGGAAGCTCTCACAACAGTCTTTTTCTTTTCAAAATATGAACCAAGAGACAGTTCCATGCTAGGATTATGGATTCTTTTGTAATTGTGCCTTATTCATTCACTACCTAGCTGAAAAGAAAAGAAATAAAATATCTTACTAAAACTTCAGACGTATTTGAACTTATGGTACAGCCAGCAATTCAAATGTCAAGGTTACCCCCTTGGTATCAATACCTTCTGAGGTACTTTGGCCCCTCCGTCCCCTAAAATTGAATTTTTTGTCATTTCCATCTGTATTATGTTTTTCAAACTCTATTCACTTACCTCTAATGACGTGTATTATTGCTTTTTTTTTCCAGATTTCCAGATAGTAGACACATACATTTAGTTAGTTGAATGTTTTTCCGTACTCTGTTCACTGTATTGACTAGAGCTCAAATTACTAGAATAGATGGTAAGAGACTTTGCTCACATATAGACACCTATATGCTAATACATAAATCTCAGACAACTTTAAAAACCTGGGATTCAAATAAGTTACTAAAATATGAGCATCCAGCATCACTCATGATATTCTACATTGTTTAAAACATCTGTGTGGGCATGGCAGATATTTGACAGGCTCCAAAATTCTTGCACCCTTCTAGGGAGGCAGCTGAAGGCATGATAGAATATTCCGGGGAATCTAAGATATCAGTAGACTTGTATCCTGAGCTGAATCTCTGAAGACACAGACTTACACAGAATCACAGAGTCACAGAATGGTCACAGAACTTGCTGACACTGTGCACTCTGTGCCTTCATCCAGGTCATCGATGGATAAGTTGAGCAAGACTGGACCCGGGATTGACCCCTGGGGGACACCGCTAGCTACAGGCCTCCAGCTGGACTCTGCGCCACTGATCACAACCCTCGGAGCTCTGCCACCCAGCCAGTTCTCAATCCACCTCACCGTCCACTCATCCAGCCCACACTTCCTGAGCTGACCTATGAGGATGTGATGGGAGACAGTGTCAAAAGCCTTGCTGAAGTCGAGGTAGACAATATCCACTACTGTCCTCTCATCTACCCAGCTAGTCATTCCATCATAGAAGGCTATCAGATTGGTCAAGCATGATTTCCCTTTGGTGAATCCATGCTGACTGCTCCTGATCACCTTCTTGTCCTCCATATGCTTAGAGATGGCATCCAGAATGACCTGTTCCATCAGATCTCAATAAATCTCAACAAATACATTAAAATAAGAGAAGGGCCTCAGCTTCGTGTGACTTCAAATTCAGTATTATGTATTAGTATTACTAGAGTATGAAGATCATGTGAAGAGCAGATCACAACACCATGTGCAGTTCCTTGTTATCACAGGCAATCAGACTATAGAATCTTTTCCATAAACTGTTCAAAATCATTTAAGAACACTTAGATTTCTTGCCCCCACTACTCGTCATAAGACCCTCAATTTTATTTCTTAGAATCCTCTTTTATTATGTATCCTGAACAGCATTTGCTACTAGTTTTCAGCTATCTATCTGCCTTATTCCAACACTGCATTTTAGCTTAAAATACTTATTTCCTTTTCTTATGCTTATCCCCTGAATTTAAGGAGAGTTCAGTCCTCTTTTCAAACTTCAGTTTGCCTAGTTAAAGAACCAAAGACCAGTCCCACACCAGGGAATTTAGCATTGTGAGGCCACATAAATATAAAGTCTTTGTACTCAAGAGTGGAAATCACAAACCCAGGTAACACATTTAAGTTCTTCATCCAAGGATTTGATACAGTCCGGTGCTTATGAATAGAATTCACTCATAACAGGCAACACGCTGACATCTGAACTAACCCAATAGGAAATGCCAGAGAAGGGAACGTGTCTGAGATGCTGGTTATGGCCTCTTCCATTATATTCATATTTCTTTTTTTTTTCTATTGCAAATACTTTGTCTGATACTTCCCAAGAATAACATGCTAACCTGTTGTCTCTGGAGATCTGAGTTCCCAGTTTAATACAGAATCCAGTCATGAGCTATATCAGAACATTTATGCATTCACCAGAAGTTTAGACCCAAAAGGGAAAATATATTGATATGACTGGTAGCACTATCCTTGAAACTGTTCACAATGCCTGGGGATTACTGTGAGATATTGTGGGATACTGGTATAGTCTAAAATCTACAGTTGAAAAAAACAAACAAAACCAAATACGCAAAAATTAACTTTGAGTGAGTCAATACTGACAATTTGCCATTAATTTAATAATATCACATTATTACAGTTAGTTAGAAACAGACATTTTTGATGTGTTTATGTAGAAAGTAAAAGTAAATAGAATTATGACCTATGTAAATTTTATGTTGCAAAATTATCAGACAGTATTAGGAAAGATTGCACAAAAATGCAATCGACTAGAAGTGACATAAAATAAGTAGTAAAAGGACATTCTGGTTTTAGAAATATTTAATTTCATATGGACAAGATATTCTTTAAAAGTTTGTTTTTGAATCTATTACAAAAGCAAATCTTTCAGCTTCTCTTAAATCTTTCGTCCTTCTCGGTCACATTTCTATAGGCTACTAAGAGAATATATGTAGCACAAAATGTGAAGGTTGCTGTCATCCAGATTTTGAAACTCCATGAAACCATAATAGTAAGAGTAAATATAACCTCGTTATTAAGAAAATAACTAGTTAAAGCCTTCCTGAAATCTTCTCCACCCATCAGTGTAGAATATATAAAGTTTTTCACATTCTTTGTCCGATTTATTTGGTTGTCAGTTCAGTTACTGATGTAATTAAAAGGCTCTATGTAAATATTACATTTATGACAGAAAAAATCCTATTTGTGGACTTCATTCATTCATCACTGTTTTAAAGACACTTTTTGGAGTCTGGTTACATAGCAACATTCCTTTCAGACATCCCCACGGGCAAAATCTCTACAGTTGTCAGAAATGTATCATTCAGCAGGTGAAGGTGGCAGCAAGATTGGGAGTTCTGGTGAAATAATTTTGCCTAAGTGAAATAAACATTCATGCACACATAAATACTAAATTTAAGCACTTGAATTACTAGCAAATTAATGCACCATTCCTTTATCAAGATGCTCATAAAAATGTTTAATTAAAAAGAAAATAATATCTTCCCCTCACAAAGATCTGTTTTGTTTCTTTGAATATGTAGGTAACATTGATATGTAGGATCTGTAGGGATTGTGTTGGATTTTAATTGGGTTAAAATAAATGCACAGGAGCAGAATGCATCCTTCTGTAAGTGGTCAAACTCTCTTTATTTTTAATTTTGAAGTCCATATACACCCAGGGAGGATTCCTCCATCTACTGGAGGAACAACACAGCAAGGCACAAACATACCAGGAGGTTCCTGAAAAGCATTGATGGTAACTTTCTGACACAGGTGATAGAGGAGCCAACAAGGAGAGGTGTGCTGCTGGACCGTGTACTAACAAACAAGGAAGGGCTGGTTGGAGTTGTAAAAGTTGGAGGTAGGCTTGGAGAGTAGTGGATATTGTCTACCTCGACTTCAGCAAGGCTTTTGACACTGTCTCCCATCACATCCTCATAGGTCAGCTCAGGAAGTGTGGGCTGGATGAGTGGACGGTGAGGTGGATTGAGAACTGGCTGAGTGGCAGAGCTCCGAGGGTTGTGATCAGTGGCGCAGAGTCCAGCTGGAGGCCTGTAGCTAGCGGTGTCCCCCAGGGGTCAATCCCGGGTCCAGTCTTGCTCAACTTATTCATCGATGACCTGGATGAAGGCACAGAGTGCACAGTGTCAGCAAGTTTGCTAATGATACAAAACCGGGGGGAGTGGCTGACACACCAGAAGACTGTGCTGCCCTTCCGAGGGACCCGGACAGGCTGGAGAGATGGGCAGAGAGGAACCTCCTGAAGTTCAACAAAGGCAAGTGCAGGGTCCTGCACCTGGGGAGGAATAACCCCGGGCACCAGGACGGGCTGGGGGTTGACCTGCTGGAAAGCAGCTCTGCGGAGAAGGCCCGGGGAGTCCTGGGGGCCAACCAGTTGACCACGAGCCAGCAATGTGCCCTCGTGGCCAAGGAGGCCAATGGTATCCTGGTTTGCATGAGGAAGAGTGTTGCCAGCAGGTGGAGGGAGGCGATCCTCCCCCTCTGGTGAGCCCTCACCCGGAGTACTGTGTCCAGTTCTGGGCTCCCCAATTCAAGAGTGGCAGACATAACATAACAGTGTAGATTGCAATGGTCCTGAACATGGTAGCAGTCTGCAAAGCAATGCAGTGGGACTTGGGCGTTAGGCAGGAGAATTGGAGTTACAGTGCTGAGGGTCTGCTCTTATACTACTTCCTTCACGCTTCTGTGCCAGCAATTCGTCATCCACTTTCTGTTTTCACAGTCACATAGACTGTGGAGATGTTGTCTTATTTGTCTTACTACCTGTCTGTTTAAAATGGTGTTTCTGCCTCGGCTGAGTGTTGCTTTAAAACCACTGATAAATAAAAGCTACACATTGGGCCATTTCTCCTGGAGGAATTTCACGCCTTGTTGCAGCCCCCGTTGCAGCGGTATCTCACAGCACTGCAGTTGCTGACTGGCATCTTTACGTCAACAACATGCAGTTTGCAGATTGCATATGTGGAGTCAAAGTATAAAGCCTTATATACAGATAGGTACTTTAGATTCAACTTTCATATTCCTAAACAGTTTTATGAGAGGTGACGAAACAAGATACATCACGCACCAGAGATTTCAGTACTGTTATCCATCCAGTCACCTGACAATGTTGCAAGAAGTTGGTGGGAAATTTGTAAGGCGGTATAGCGTCATCAGAATTTATCTAATGAGCTGAATGTTTTTTTCTTTTTTAGGACAAGTCAGAATTCTAATAGTAGAGAAGCTAAAGATCTTCCTCCAAAATTAATTAATTCATCTTTACTTAATCTCTAATGGAATAAGATTTATAATCATAAGAAAAAAATAACATTTTAAACATAGACGTACCGGCTTTATAATCATATGATTAAGCACAAATAAAAGAAATTTTAATATTTACATATGTAAATTTCACTACCAGACATTTTCAATTTGCTTAATGTGTTAAAGTGCATCATGTATGCCTTTTAAAAGTAGCACTCATATGTTATTATGCTTACTTTTCGTATAAAAATAGAACTCCTAACACTCAGTGAAGACGAAGAGAGTTTCAAAATAAGTATTTTTAACTCGTGTCCTAGACACCTCTGAATCTCCTCTACACTCAGAAAGGTTTATGCATAGGAAGGATAGCACTTGCTACTGTGCAGAAGCTAATTTTAAGTAACTTGGCTTCTTTCAGTGCAATTAGAGCCTAATGGCCGTTAGGAAGAAAATCCTAGCCTCACATATTTATTAATCATATCTCAAGAGATAGAGCTCCACTCCTCTCCATTTCTTTTTTTCATACTCAAAGTCAGAAAGACCGCGGTTCTTGACATCATTCGGTTATGTTTTCCTATTGTACTTTTAAAAACATTTATTTATTTATTTATTTTGCAGGAATGACCTCAGCAGATCTGCTGAAAGTAGCAATTGGCCGCTTACGTCTCTTCTTCCAAGGGTATGACTTACTTAAGCAGGTGCCGGCAGACCTGAGCTCATTTTGTCTTTCCTCGGAGGTAGCTGAGTGAGCAGGAGCACGGACAGGATGAACTCAGGGCTATCTGTACCCACCTGTGCAGACATGCTCCATAAATTGTTAGTCACAGACATGAGATTATCTTCCATAATACTACCCACGTAAAAGCTAGGTGCATAAAGCATGGTGGATGCATAGGCTGTTTTTGCATTTAATGGGGAGGGGTGGGCAGCTCAAGTGGCAGTTCATTGCATCACAAGATAACAGTGATGGATCTCCCTTTGGAAATGCCTGTCTTTTTTATTCACTAAAGGAATTACTAGCAATTTCCTTAGACTTCTACCTAACTTTCAGATGTTGGAGTCAGGTAAGAAGAATCTCAGCCCTACGGGCTGTGAGCTCCTCACGCAGGCGCAGTAAAACTCAAGCAGTAAGTAGCAGGGTACTAGTCACTGTGACTAAAGGTCCCGTGGTCTTACGTTCCAGAAAGTGATTAACCAAAGGGTTAATGTCTTTTGTCTGTAGAGTTTTGTGACACAGAGTGCACACAAACTGAAGCTTGGAAGATGTGATATCTTGTACAGTTTTAAATTGTTAACAGGTCTAAACAGATTTGTGTAGCAGTCATGGGCATTTACAACTAGAAATCACAATCTATTTAAACCCTAATAAATATCTTCTGCTGAACTATGTCAAAACAAAGTACAAGATATCTTCAGTGGATTCCTTAAACAAATAATATTAAACTTACTTTAATAATGCCCTCCAGGTATTATACTGAAACACCTGTTTTGTTGAGCAACATCTACTCCCATGGGAAATAAGTTCAAAGCCAATATAGTAGCATACAAAATGTTTTTGCCAGATACAAATACTGCCTACGTTCGGTATTGCGAATGGAAATTTTTTTTTTCCGTTTGCAGTCATCATTCCCTAATAACCCAAGGTCGTTTATACAACATGACTATTTTCATTTTTATTAAAGAGATTATCATTGGAAATATTAAACTGTAGCACTATTTTTAAAGGACTTTACTGAGTTTAAAGGAAAAAAAAGTAAATCAGATAGATACGTTTTTAATGTTAATTCAGAAAGGAGAAAAAAAGATTCCGTACTTCAGCAAGTTTCCCTTTGGTCCTCAGTGAGAATCTGAAATGAAACCCATCCAAGCGCATGAAAAGATTCCAGTTTCCTTGAATAGTCTTTGGATTACGGCCAACTCCTGCTCCCACTGATTTCAACAGTACAAGATCTAACTGCATAGAAATGACCCCATTTTTATCTCTCTATATATCAATAAGTGGACAAAAATCAATAGCAAATATAAGGCAAGACTGTAGTCAGGCCTTGCTAATGCTGAGCTATTATTCAAAGCTAACATTTAATTTGCGATGTACATTAATTTTGGGAAGGATGACAGAAATAGAGAATAAAGGGAAGGAAGTAAAGGCTACACTGCAGCTGTTATTTATGCCTTTTAGGTGACAACCCAGTTTTATTACAGTCAAAGGCAAAGCTGTCATTGATTTCAGATAGGACAGGATTTAATCATCTGTTGTACTTCTTGTTCGTGCTTCATTTAAGAAGCATGACAATTAAGTTCTCTGAGCAAGCAGAGCATGCGTTCAGATGAGGATACATTTGATTATATTTAGAGACTTTTCCACTGCTCAAATTTTTCCATTAACTTCAGTAGGAGTTTGATTGAGCCCTTTGCAAACACTAAAACCCACTGAGGGCTGGGTGTGAGCATTTCCAGAACTAATGGCAAATGATCATTTTCAAAACTAATGTTCTTGCTAAAACAATTTCCTAGTAAAGTATTCACAAACAGTAATCCTCTAGCAGTTCTCAGCTATGCAAAACAACCTAATCATATGTTAAAGCCAGTCAGAAAAAAAAGTTGTCTAAGTTTCAGGTTCTGCTAAAAATGTAGCCACTAACATTTCCAATGATTTTTCCTAATTCCTCTTGGAAAGAGCTTTTATTCTGGTACCCATCAGTTCAATTTGCGTTTCTCTGGAAATCATCTCCAGTGAGATAATTACCTCAGAGCAATTAAATAGAAATTTAGAAATAAGCACAACCAAAAAATCAGAAAGATGTGAACTCTCTCCCTAATTGACTTTGCCAAAGTCAAATCAAATCAATTTGTCAGAAAAGGACTGACATCTTTCCAATTGATGATCAGGATTCTCATTTTAAACAGATCAGAGAAAAAACTATTTTGGATTTAGTTTGACTCTCTGTACACGTCAGTTTGTGTCCCAAAATCATCCCCAACTTTGAAAAACTAGCTGGAGTAAACAGGCTCTAGCAGCTTGCACACCTAAATATGAAGCTTCTTACTTTTTGCATTAGCTTCACTGCTTGAGGCTTGAGCTTAGTAAAACTCAGTGGTTTTGGCCTGGATTAGACAAAAAGGAACTGAAGCTCTTGAAGCAAGTGACAGCTGGAATCAGTAAAATCCAAATGGACTTAGAGGAAAAAAAAACCACACACACACACATTAAACAGACAGTTTCCTTGAGGACACTTCAGAGACGTGATTGTCACTGCCTGTCTTCAGCTGCACATTGGAGTGAGCCCATCCTCGCTCCTCCACTCGGCTCCTCTCACCTTCTTATAGATGTGCAGCGATCGAGGGCAAGGTACACGGGCATCTTGTCATAAGCAAATGGTAGTGGGTTAGAGGAAGAAGGTCAGAAAGATGTGGTTTGGCCCCTCCCTGTGCCCTGAGGACATGCATGGGGAGGCCAAACACCACTTCTCAAGGCACAGATGCAGGAAATTTCTTCCTGAAAGGAGGAGAGATGAGAAAGAGGTGTAGTTCTCAGGAAATCCAGCATTATCCCAGCATCCACTGGTAGGATGTTAGGGCAAGCCACTTCACCTGATTCATAAAATAGTACAAATCTAACTATTGGACCTTTTTTGGCAAGGCAAAACCGAATCTCAACTATATTCTTACATGAGTTCATAACTTATTATGATGAATATGTTTTTCATGAGCCCAAGGAAAGGCTGAAAACTTGATATCATCCAGATTCAAAAGAAAAGGGTTGGAAGAGTAAAATCTCATTGGCAAAAAGGAGGGCTCAGCCAGCCCTACAGCAGTTTGACCTGAAGATAGCCCCTAGCAGCAGTTCCAGAGCCACCAGTGCAGCTGTCAGTGGAGTTTCCAATAGCCAGATGTTGTTACTGCAAAATACATTCCAGAGTTCATTTGAGCTACTTATAGTCTTGACCTTGTATAACCAAAGCAGCTGATTCTGTAGCTAAAAAAAGGTATTAGAGATTAAGCTGAACGTGAAGTTTCGGCTATAGATTTATACAGTATTTTGCTAGCAAAAACTGCATTGACTAGATGTGTGTATCCACCTCTTTCCTTTGCCACGATGACTATTTTTGAAATTATTTTTACCTGTTCTGTATATCTCATGAGGTGAACTTATCATTCATGCAAAGGTCAGAGTTGGTATATTTTCTTGTCTTCTAAGCATTACGTCAATTTACAGTCTGGGCACCTTAAAATTCCTCTTGTCCTGTTGTAGCTTTACTGTCCTTCAGGGTGAACACTGTAATATAACTGGAAAAAAGTTTTTGTCGGGAAAATACACTCCCTTTCTGCAGAACCAGAAGGATTTCCAAGGTCCTGGAATGTACTTTTTCTTCAGACACCCACAGAACGTGCGGCAAAATTAAATGCATCTGACATGTACAGTACATCAGGTCATGTCTGTTGATGTGATCCAATGGAGTACTAAACATTACCCAATGCAAGGCTTATAGAAGTAAAAAGAAGGTACTGATTGCTTAATATTTACTTACAGTTTGCAAAACAAGATGAATAATCACACCTTGATTTCAGGGGTATTTTTCCTAAATCACGTCGGAAAATAAAGTTCCATTGGAAAGGCATTATTTTCCTAACTTCATGTAATTCCTGCTCGAATATGTGGTTAGAGGCTTAAAATCATAGTGAGTTTATAGTAGGAGATGTCCCCGTTCAGCAGTGAGACAGTAGAGGGAGTGGAGGACTGGTTATTCAGAACCAGACCCTATGAACAGGGACTTATTTATATTCTTTTACATGGTTCTGAATCAGCACTTGAAATGCAATTAAAGGTACTGCATTAGCATCTTCTGTGTGAGCCATGGGCATGAGCAATCCTTATGAATCTGTAGTAAATTTTACTACTTACGATATTAATGCCAGTTCAACTTTCAACACTATATTATATCTAGAAAAAAATGCTGCTCAGTTTTGATTGGATAAGAAAACGTACTTATCATTCCCAGGTTTCATCTATTGGCTAGGTGTTCTGTGATGCTAAACTTTCGCAGTACTCCATATTAGGCATGCCCTATGGGTTTGCATAAAAGCATTGTTAAGCCTTAACCTTGTCCTTCCTTTCTCAGTGTATCCATGAAGCAGTAGGCAGATGGCAGCAGTCATTCCCATCACAGCCTCATTTTCGAGGGCTCTTATTTTCTGTGGCAATACTGCCACTTCAGCTGTTTTTTTGTTTTGGGGTTTTTTTTTTAGCACAGAATGTACTTTTGGCTCATTCCACCTCGTGCCATTGCACATGCTAAAGAAATGCTTTGTTAGATAGCCTCTAGTTGGTCTTCTTAGGAATCTATCAAAGGTGATCAGATCTTCATCAGTACTATTTTTTTGTATTTCTGCTGGTGGTCTTTTACTTGCTATAGCCTCTCATTACTTCTTCCTGCAGCTTCTTGTACTCTAAATATTCCAGCATTTCTGACACATGCTTTTAAAGCTCTGCTGTTCACTCTAGCACTTGCAATGATTTTTCTGCACTCTGTGCTGTTTGGGAGGAAGTTTCAAGAATTGCACCTGCGGACTTTTAATTTTTGTGGTCTTCCTAAATGCATGAGGCTGCTGTGCTATATTGCTTCTGTAATACATGCAGGTTCTTGAATACAGTCTACACCTTGCTCATTTTTAGATTTCACACCAATGAAATGTGTAATTGCTCTCTTAACCATTACGTTTCAGAATTTGTTAGTATTTGTATACTTCATAGACATCAGAGAGATTTCACATTAAAATGCACTTTCAAGAAGAAATAAGATAGAAAATCAGCTTTTATAATTATTAACAGGAAATATTTTTTTTTTATTTAGGGCATCTAATAAGAGCAATTGTCAAGAAAAATAAGAAAAATAGTAAGTGAGAGAGAGAGTTCGTTTACATAGTGGAAATTCACCTTCTCTCATTGCATAAGGACTTTCTGTCCAAAAAAAAAAATCTCTTTTTGGATGACTGTACCTAGTTATTATTAGCAGTAAATGTTTCGGCAGTTGTTCATAGACAGAGCAAAAAACAAATACATTCATGAATCTTCCAACACAAGGTAAACTTTGAACCAACTCAGCAGTTAATTCCAAGAATAAATTCTCTTTGAGTATCTCTGAATTTTTTTGCTGTTAGATGTATTAATGATAAAGCATCTTCTTCCTTTGACTAATTGAAGTGCATCAAAATCTATCTAAAATTTATGGGAAAGGAGAATTTTGTGATGACAGTATCAGAACAGTATAAAAACTGTAAAGATACAGAATGATTTTTAAAGGAACAGTAAAGGCTCCTACATTTTCCTCCCCCCCTCGCTTTTTTTTTTTTTTTGTAGATCATGCTTTCCCCCCAGATTCCTGTGTGAAAATTAGGGGCTGAGTTTATAAATTTACCTGCCGTACCCATGACAGATCTTCTCCACATATTTTAGCTGATAAATTAGAGAGGGGGTATTAAGCATTATAGAAACCAACAATTATGAAGAAACAAATATGTGCAGGATCATTAGAGGTGCATTTGAAGAGAAACATGGAAGAAAACTGTTGATTACCAGACTGAAAAAAACAGAGCTTTACAATTGTGGAATTATAAAGCAGTGAAGGATTTGATTCTGCAAAGCTCCACTCACAGGAAAGAATATTTTGTGAATATGGTGTATTGGTTGTCTGGAATGCATGGTCTAGACTAAATGTCTGTTACATAAATGACTTTGCACAGGACTGAGTTTTTATGGTATGACTATACCACTAAAAAGAAAGTTGCCTACGACTGAGCTCTAGCACGGGTCTCCCGACGTTTCTCCCCACTTAGTCTTAGCTTATTCCTTGGCTTTGGGCTAGACCACTCCAACCAGGTCCTTCCGAGACAATTTGTTCTTGCAAGCACTAAGCAGCACACAGACGAACCAGTAGTAGCACACAGTTTCAGAGGCAGGGTTTGATCTGGAGCCTTCTCTTGCTTGGTAGTATGGATACAGCCACACAGAATATGTTTCTATATCATATTCCTGAGACTTACTGAATCTCACTTTCAGCGGGACCTGAATGTGCTCAGTACTGCAGAACAGCACTTTGCAGGCATATATTCCCACAGCTTAGTGATTGCCTGTATACAAAAAGTGCTGTGGATATGTGTGTCATAACTGCTTTTAACAGTAAATTCATGCATGCTCATTTCCAGAAATCAGATTTACTCTCACAGCCACAATTTCCTTCCAGTCAGATTGTTGTACAGGCTTTTTAAAGCATGGACTGCTAGGCCTGAAGCACTCCTCCAAATACCCTTCGCTGTTAGGGAGATGGGAATTCATGAACAGATCTAGGTATACCCTTGCTACTATTCACTACACCTTATTTGTCCTTAAGGGCCCAAGTAAAACCTTTGGACACCCATGTCTGCTGTGTGTGCCATCTAAAATAAGGCTGAGAAAGGGAAAGGAAGTGCATTCCTTTGGGTTTATAAGGGATAAACAACCTCCACCTCTTTTCTTCTCCCCTCCTCTGACAGAAAGGGAGGGGACAGTGAGCAGAGGGTAGAGAGGATTGGTTTGAAACTGTAGCCCACGTGGTGTGGCATTTCTCCTGCTATTGTGGGGGAGTGGGAAGTGAGGCAGGTAGGAAAAACTAAATTGGTAGATGAGAAGACAACAGATGAAAGGCTGGTTATATCTGGGCTGCCGGGAGGTTCTTCCTATGGTTACTTCATCCTCCTTCCTTCCCTTCTCTTTGAGCAGAGCTCAAGGGCTATCTAGATGGAGGGGGGAAGGCTGGGTCTTACATTTTTGTTCAGATTAAAGAGTAGCTCCCCTTCTTTCAGACTACACAGGGCAACATGAGTGCCATATTGAATCCTTGAAAAAAGAAGGAAAGAAAATAGTTTGGGCAGGAAAAGTATAGGTTCCGGAGAACATGAAAGTAGTGAGGTTGGGGTTTAGCAAGGAAAATACCACTTGCTGGTCTCATCTTGGCTTTCTCTCAACTTCATAGCTGAGTGTTTGCATCCCTCCAGCACATTTTCATTTCTTTGTATTTAATCAAATATTAAAATATATTGGGAAATAGTTAAGACCCATGGGAACAAGTTCTCAGTGTGATCTGGAAAAACTTCCAAAAGTGAATAGAGATTTCCTTCTCTTTCTCTCACATAACGTGATGACTTAGATTTTATCTCTCTTCTCCTTTCAATTTATGATGATAACAAGTCATATCTATTTTTAAATTTGTAGTATTTGTTTCTTAAAGTTCATTTGAAAAGTGAAGCTATGGTTTCATTTTATTCCAGTGTCATCTACTTATTTTTTCACATAGAAATACCTCAGGGAGAGTGTTCTATTTGTAATAAGACACCAAATTTAATTTGATGAATGGCTGAATTTTCCTGTGTACTTAGGGGTGCACAGAGCTTGGTTTCTCAAATGCTACAATAAACAGACTCTTTCGATATGAGTAAAACTCATAATCACAGGGAGATCGATCTCAAAATCTGAGTAAGATTTAGATGTCATGTTAATGGTCCATCGGTCTTCTGTAAGGAGATGAAATGAACAACTCATTTTAACTATCAACAGACATAAAAAACAAATTCTTGGTTTAAATGTTCAAATACCTATGGAGATTTTTAGATGTTTCAGGTTGCTAAAACTGATATCATAAAAGATCTTGATGTTAAAAGCACTTCCTGAAAATCAGGATCCTTTAAAATTATATCTCATTGAGTGCCCAGAGACTGAGGAAAGCATAAGTCACACTTGTCATACTTTTCTGAAGTAACACTTTATTTAGCATTCTGAGGCATGTCATCATGCACCACTTGTTCTTTTTCTCAAGACAGCCTGTGTGATGTGACAGATAAGTCAAAAAATGCAAAGATATTTACATATGTATTTAGTACACTCAGAGCAAACCCCAGGGTATGTGCTTGACCAAACCAGGAGCCCAAGTTTGCTGGTTGAAACATTTTCCCTCTGTCAAACACCATTTTCAGAATCATTACTCAGGTTCCAGGTAGACAAAGAAGAGACCTTCCCTGGCCTGGTGATGCGGGAATATGACAGAACTCAAATTAAAGGCTTTCTTTTCCTTTTTTTGGAGAGCAAAGCCTTAAATCTGGAACAATCACACCACTGTTAAAAGTCTCATCTAAGGTAGGAGCCTATGACCCTTGCCTTCCGCTGTAGCTGTATGCTTCGTAGGAACAGGTAAATATTCAGGAGTTCATGGAGTAAGAAAGATTGTGTAAGAGCTCACAGCACTTACCTGCGCTGTAGGCATTTGAGTTTGAAATCTCTTCTGTGCTTGGCATGGACCAGAGCTTTACAACCTAACTACCTCACTGATACCACAGTGATGCCATCACTCGTCCTGTGGGCTCGTTCTGATAGCTGTGTTTGTTATTTGTTTCCTCCCACACAGAAAAAAGCACCAAAGCTCTCATTTTTGTTCTCTACCAGAATGAAACTGCGGGATGTCAAAACCTCTGCAAAGTGAAGGCATCATCTTCTGGCCACTGCTGAGGCACAGGGCTGCCATTGGCACTTGGCTTGTTCTTCACAATGCATCCCTTGTTTTGCTATAACGCCATCCTCTCCCCTTTCCCTTTACTACCACTTATGCTGTCTCTAAAGTGAGTCTTCCTGGCAAGATGTCTGAAGAATGAATAAACAGAATAAATAACAGCATTCAGGGAGCTTTTTCTTCTTTTGTCTTTCTGATCTGATCCTGGTTCAATACAGGAATTGCCCTCTCTTTCCTTTTATTAACTTCATTTATGATTTTTGTACGTGTTTTTCAGAAACAAAGAGAATGACAGAAAAAGCATCCAATTTAAATTGTAAAATAGGAGTAATGTAGGTATAATTGCATTAGGAAGGAAGAAAATAATTCAGAATAACTGAGAAGCAATCATGAAAGCTCTATATAAAAACTGAGGAGAAAATAGTTATCATAATGAAGAAACATAGCAATTTTTAAAAGAGCCCAAAGAGATCCATTTCTCCATAATCTAAGAAAGGAATCCAAACAAACTGGAAATCAGTAGGACTCTTTAAAGAAGGTCTTATGAGGTTTTCATAAATCACTGTACCTTATTTGTGACAGTGTGAAAGAAATTCATAATAATATGATGCTCCAATGCTACTCCCTTTGTTAAGCAATTTCAATGACAGCTGAAAGCAATGTGGAAGAGAAGCCTCTTCTGCACTTCAGAAAGCAGCAGAATTTAGGTTGTTTATCCTAGATTTTCTTAACCAGACAGCCCCTAGATCTTTTGCTAAGTCTTTAATGCTTTGTTATGAAAGGCGCCTATCAGCTGAAAAACTGCAGGCCTATTGCTCACTGTGCTGCAACCAGGATCTGCCACCAGTTGGATCCAGTATTTCAAAAAATTGAATCTAACATTTACAACCAAAATTCACTTGACCTCTCACAGAACCTTTTCCCTCACCATTTTATTATGCCACTTTAAGCTCCTTTTGCCACACGTCCTAAAAGATTTCTTCACTCATGCTTGTATTCCTTAAGTGTCTGCACAGTCTTTGGAAACTCCCATCTCTAGTAAAGATGTGATTCGGCCCCACAGATGAGGTGAGGCACAAAGTTCAGGTGTATTTCTGAACGTGGGAGCAGGCAGGAGTTGCTGCTATGCAAGGTGGCTTGTGCCTCCAGCTCCCAGCCAGCCTGTGGATGTCCCTTAATTTTTGGAGGTAAAAACCTCGTTACCCTAAAAGATCTCTTGGGATAGTCACATATGGCAACTTTAGTAAAACAGAATCATTTGCCGAAACTCCTGGTACAATGATGAGCTATTCGTATCATTTGTAGTATTGCAACCCAGCTCGACATGACAGCACACAAGTCAGCGTGCCAAAAGTTTAATCTTTTACGGCAAAGAGGAGCTGCTATTTCACCTTTCTCAGGCTTTTCTCTCACCTTCTTCCTCTCTCCTTTCTGAGTACTCTTTGTACTCTTGAAGAAATGATGAGCAACCCCATGCACTGAAAATTCCTGCATAATGCTGAAATGCTAAACAAGAGAACTTTTTTTTTTCCTCAGCAAATATAAACACATTCCACTTGAAGGTACAGTTATAAAATAGCAAAGATATGATTAAAGAATTCCATGTGGATTCATTACGAGCTTTCATTTCTGGTAAACTAATAAAGCTTTCCAGCTCATTTTAAAAAAAATCTCCCAACATTACACAGGAAGAAAAAATTATTACTCTTTGGGTCTCTGATAGGTTATTAGCAGAAAGGCAAAATACTATCTATGCCAGATATACAAGCCAATATCACAGAAAAACTCATAAAGTATATCAACTCCAGGCAAAAAACATAACAAGCAAGAAGCAGAAAATCACTTGAACTATAGTAAACTGATGGTAGACCCATAAATATAACTACTGTGCTCCCAGCCAAAGCAAAAACCTCAGAAACACATTTTCAGAGATATACAATTAAGACTGAAAAAAAAAAAAAAGAGAGAGAGAAAATTAACAATAAGCCCAAAAGCTTTTTACAGGACTCTAATGAAGGACAAGAACACAAGGTACAATAATAAGCCAGATGAGGTAATAATATACCCAGAAAGAGCTGAGATGAAGCACAGTGGACAAAAGTCATTCGTAGTTCAACTCTGTAGCTATTTAAAAAAGCAAGAAACAAATAATATACATAATATATATATGTATGTTTAATAAACCTTCAAGAGCACTGCCAAGAATCCTTGTGGTGTTACTTCTGTGTATGTATCCGTTCTTCTACAAATGCATATGGGTGGTCACATGATACAGGACATTAAGTACAGCAAACAAGTCTTGTTTCCATTCACAGCATTTGAATTACTCTAATATTGGGTTTCAGAATGTCGTGGTATGAGAAAGAATTTGCTCACTCCTGAAGATTTTCCATAACTACTTAGAGAAGGGAAATAATACCAGCCATATTGCATGACTATTACATGAATGTTTCCATTCCAAGCACTGTATACGCAGGTTTTATGTACTGGCAGCCCAATGCATAAGCTAGTTTTACACTTTTTTACACTTCTCAGAAATCTGAAAAAAAAAAAAAAAAGCACTGAGCCTTTCAAGTATATGCATTTGAAACCCCTAGGACATATTTTGCAAGAGTCTAGTGAGTTGAGTTTGAAATACATCTGATTGATAGGTTCTTTTGAGATCAGATTTTAAATCTCATTTAGATTTTATTCTTCTACCATGAGTGGTGCTTGTGGCATAGCTCTTTGTCTTGAAGGGAAAAGACTGTGCTTTAAAGAGGAGAAAATGAAGAGGTGGAACTATAGCAGAAGAAGGGAAGCAAGTTGTTCCCATACATTTATTGCCAAATCAGAGAGGCATATAGAGCTCCCCGGAGTGTTCTAGCTACATTGAGAGCATCTTGACCTGCTATGCTGCTTTTTGTTTTATAGTCCTCAGAGGCAAATTACATAAAGTTCACCAAGGTGAACGCATAATCATCCAGCTGCAGATTCATCCCACCTTGCTCTGGGTCCTTAAACAAAAACCCACATTAGGAGCAGAGCTATCTTATGCTCTCTGTACAGTCAATGGAGAATGAGGAATTTCCAGAAGATAATCCAACCAAAGGTCTGAAACTTGCTAAGAAGAGGCACAGGTGTCACACTTAAAACGTCTTTGGAAGAGCTCTTGGCATACTGACGATAATTTAATTTTTTTCCTTTTCTACTTTAAGTTTGTTTGATTTTTGAAGGGTTTGATTTTTGAAGTTTGTTTTGGCCTTTGAAGGTTACTCTGCTAAATAGTTTATACTTGTACTGGAAAAATGCATCTTTTCAGGCTGTTCTTTGTGTTATTTTCCTTGTTCCCCTCCTTTGGAGTCTTTATTGCTTCCCACGGTGAGTGGGGTATAAAGGAAGTAGCTCCACTTAGTGAAATAATGAGTAAAAAAATGCTACACAATGCACTCATTTTGATGGGGAGCCATTGGGCATAAGGCACTTGGTGGCAACAATATTGAAAGCATCAACTTTGTAAAAAGGGAATTTGTAGACTTTGTAATCCTAGAACGCCATATTCTCAGCTCTCTGAAGGTTCCTGCTGCCCTATTCCTTCACAGTTGATTTTTACTTTGTTTACATTTCCTGCAGAGACAGAAAGGAGGTGCATTCTGATATGCTCCACTGCCACTACCACTTACGCTTGTGTTGTTTTAAAAATCCCACTTAATCCACTGCATCCATCTGAGATGCAGTGTATTTCATTCCATTCCCCTAACTGTCTCCTTCCTGCTTCAGAGCATGTGCTAAAGTAAAGCTTATTCGCTGCATTACACAACCCCAAATTACTCGAAGAATTAGGGCATTTCTGATCCTGCCGTTAATACTGGCATTACATAATTGAGGTTCCCTCCAGAGCTGCTTCTTCCTTAGGGAGGATAATGGAAGTCGCTCTTGAATTTCGTGGGGCTGTGGGCTACCGCCCGCTAGCTTCGAACGCCTGCACAGCTGCCAAACCTGAGCCTTGGGCTCGCAGCCGGGATCAGCTCTGTGAAGCAATTTGCTGTGCGGGAAAAGGGAAGGAAGATGGTGCTGCAAGAGGTGCTCCGTGGCCAGCAGAGAGTCTCAGGAGATTTAGGACTACTGATGCACTCTGCCCCTGTGGAAAGCACAGTGAGGCATAGATGACTTCCAGATGAGCTGAGTCCCAACGGGAAAGTTTTCACAGGGACCGCCTAGCCCGACTGTGCCTGAAATAAAAGTCGGAGAACTCCGCCACGGCGCAGAAGGGGTGTGCTGAAAGTAAGGGCACTGCTGGAGCAAGGCCTAGCAGAGGTCCCTTGAGTTTGAGGCCAAGACCAGAGCTCTGATAACTAACTGCTGGTTTTATCATCAACATCAGGCACATAGACACAAAAGTTTGGGGTAATGCTGATTAACTTTCGACCCGAGAGTCTGGTGGCTTTTCTGCTTATGAATAAGTAATGAATGTACTGGCAGCACAGTATTCACAGCCATCCGTATATGCCCACGTGAGAGAAAGAGAGAAAAGCAGGCTAGTGCTGCATTTCAGTGGTATGTTATTTAAGCATTAGAAAGAAAATAATACTCTACTGTTTGTGGTATCTTTAAACTGATTTCAGGGTTATGGCTTAATTTACTCTTACCTCAGGAGTTGAGAAACAAACACTGCTTAAAATACGGATTATAAAACACATACTTATGGCCATCTGGAAAAACACACTGATTGATTAAAGTTCAATCTATCTACTTTAAGACCAGCTCACAGTAACTGCAATGATTGCAATTCCAGCTATGAGCTTTTTCTTCTTAAAACATTCTTCACTGTTATCGGACCAATCACTCAATAGAACTTTCACTTATTTCACTTATTTCAATTCCTGGGATATATCTGATAGTCTGAAGCGCCGTTCTGCAGACAGAAAAAGAGGATTTTTTCGCCTGATGACTCAGAATTGCTAAACAATTCAAAGGTCCAGACTCTGTGATGTAAACAAAGATTCACTTACGAATCCCATATACTTTACAGCAACTGAGAACATGATCCAAAATATTGACCACAGTGCAGTTACAAACTGATATGTTCTGTCTGAGTTTATAAACATGCTTTTAATAATTTAATAATTAGGTAATTAGCTCTGAGGATATTTTGCAGAAATAGCTTGCCAATGAC